GGAAAAAGCTTCAACTAGAGGACTAGTAGTGGTACACACGGACAATATTCATTCATTTTCCTTTTGGAAAATGCGGTAAAAATATAAATGTGGACTTTAGACGTACTTAGCACAAAATTTCATGTTGGAGAGTAACACAAAATGAGACTGGGTTCAAATCTTCGACATCTTACCCCATAACATCCCGGAATTATGATGACCTTTTAATTGTCTATGTAAATTGCAAAGTCAGGTGTGGTTTTATTTGGATTTGACGTATACACGCTTAAAAAAATACGGATCTGTGCCAAAAGATTACATTATGATTTTATAAGTTGCTGTTTAAAAGCTTCCTAACTCGAAGAGCACATCTAACATATGGCAATTGAATCAAGAGCTTAATTTGCTTTTAGTAAATAGTATATGACTGACTTTATGTGTTAATTAGTCCACTTGACTTTGCAAAATAAATAAATTTCCACGCCATTTTGTTACCAGTTCGAACTCTCCTACTGCAGCCTACATCTTCCCCTTCTGTGGATTGTCTAATAACCTTAGCTTACTAGTCATACGAATGTATGCCTTAATGAGATTAGATTAATTAGGCGAATAGCTAATAGGACCGTGTTGCGTAATATTCTAATTATATAATTTGTAATAAGTGGAGCAAAAGGGTAAGACATTACGTAACCCCCATCGCGAGGATGTGGATAATTAAAAACGATTTCCTGTCACGCCAATTTGTCCAAATATAGCAGAGGATGGTTAAAAAAGACCTTTTCCACCCAAAGTCATTGGCATTCTCAAAGAACATGTCTTAGTCATTAACGTGTGTATAAATTAAAAGGCCTCGTGCGTCCTTTTGCTAGATTTTATCCGCGAATAATTTCTGTTTTCGTTTTATTTACATTGTCAGGCATTTATCGAAGGCCATCGACCAAGTTATGGTGGCACGCTATGCATCTTTAGTGATGCATAAATAACCGAACGGGCGAACGAACGCTTGAGCGCGAAGAATTTTGGTATGAAATCTGGAATCAACGGTATACGCTTGGTGGGTGATTTACGCAGAATGCGAGATGATACAATCTTGCCGATTCCGAAGAAATCGCAGAAGATTTTTGAAATTTCTGAACTCGAGGGCTTTCTCTGCCGATTATGGTAATTCACACTTTCATCTCCGCTGTCGCATTTATCTAATTAAAATATTAACCCTAATTTATTTCGATTGGCACTTTCTATTAGGCGCATACCAATTACCGGCGGCGTGTGTTTCTGTGAAAAACTGAAAGAAATGCAAGTTTTCAATGTGCTATTGTTTTAATTGAACAATAGTTGTCTATTAACCTTGTAGAACTGATCAAACTTCCCAAGCCGCGTAGGCGAAATCTCTTTTTTAATGCTACTCAAAAATAATCATTGAACCCAATAGTAAGTTTTATTAGAACTCGATGCAATTAATTGTGTAACGTTACGTTATCATTTTCTAGTTACGTAGTTTCCTTAATTACATTCATATGCGATGGAATCTGCACAGTCCAAGGTTGTTTTATTGTTAATTATTTCATCAATTTCTGTAGCGGCCGCAGCGTGAGATTCCCCGTTTTTTATTCCAGTTTATTAGCGCGTAATTAAATTGATTAGTACACGTTTTTCATTTAACGAGAGTCCAGATTTCTTGTAGGGAATGTCGCTTTATTGGTTCACTTGTCTTTCGACGACCAACAAAGTGTATTGCTATACATGAACAGCTACCCACATACATTGAAAATTCTTATTTAGTAAATTCTGAAAAGTCCTAGGAACGTGCGACATTACTTTTGACTCCGACTGCACTAGATTTGGTGCCCAAATCAAGAAAGACTGTTGAGATGACGAACTAAAAATAATATACAGTTTCCTTCACTCCTATGGGGTAGATACTAAAAGCAGAAACCTGAACGTCTCAAGGTTTTGAACCATTGAAAATAGGCGCCCAATCTGACATTAAAAACGAGACGTTTTTCCAGTGTGAACTTGAAACATTTCGCGTTAATCTTTGAAGCTTCTAGAGCTCGCCTGACACACTTTAAAGGTTCACACAATTGTTTTCGAAATCTCCTTGAAAGTTCGGTGAGATATTCTCGACACCTTGTTTGAAGCAGTGTTTAGAAGTGATACTGCAAAATTGCGTGAAGTTTTCTTGGAGACTATCCTAGCTAGAGTCTTCATAGGAAATAATATGCGGTCCCCCGATGGAAATTTTCACGAAAACTTTTTTCTTAATCTCAGACACTTTTTCTCTGAATTTTCTTGAATACCTTTAAGGAATCATCAAATTTTACAGGTGAGAAAACAAGGTTGAGACAACAAACTTATAAAAAATGCAAAGATGGCCGTCAGTGGCGCACCCATAGGAGGCGTTTTCGGGGTTAAATCGCCCCCCCCCCCCCCCGAAATTAAGTACTCATAGATTTTTTTAAAATAATCTTATCCTACAATCGTTTATGAATTAATCATTCCCTATTCTGAATTCTATAACTGAATTCCAGGATTTAGTATCATTGTATAAAGATGATTTGACAGGAACTATAGATGAGCTAGTTGCCGAACTTAGACTTTGGTATAGAGCAATCGCCAGATTGCCAAATGAAGATCGACCCAGAGATGCCTTAAGTGCTTTACAACACGTTACAGACACCTTTACAAATATTATTACTTGCTATATTAGCTACATTGCCTGTCTCTACTGCGGAAGGCGAACGTAGTTTTTCAACTTTGAGAAGACTCAAAACTTATTTAAGAAATAGTTCTTCCGAAAACCAACTAAATGGCTTAACTCTTCTAAACATTTATAGAAACATAACCCCTTCTGTGGAAAATATTTTAGAGAAATTCGCACAGAAACCTAGAAAATTAAAACTTAGTTTAACTTAATATTTTTAGTCATAAATAATTTCTTTTACGTTTTGTTTTTTTCGGACAAAGTGTAAGTGTAACTGTGTAATCTTTTGTTTATTAAAAATATAATTTATGTTAACATTTTGGATTTACTAATTTCAATAACCCCCACCGAATTTTTTTTCTGGGTGCGCCACTGATGGCCGTTGGCAGTATAGGTACTGTATTCTGGATTGGGGTTTATACAGATAAGGAAAGAAGCCTCCTTTAAAATTCTTCATCCAAAATAAGAGGCAACGATGAACACCTTCTTTCCTTAGAAATAATCCGCTTACTGGAAAGCTTTCTAGAAAACGAGGATAAACCAAGTTTTAGTAAATATAAAAAATCATTCAAAATTTGAAGTTGCAGATTTCAGAATTTTATGATTTCAAAATTATGAAAGTGGAAATTTTTACCCCGCATTTTTGAATATAAAAATTCAAAATTTTGAGCTCATTGCGTATGAGAAATACATGGAAGCTCTGATTTTTTATAATTGTGTAGACATGAAAAAGCTAATGACAAATTCTCAATCCATAAAAGTAAAATAATCGTTTTCCGGGACTTTGCTGAAAAATTACTATTAAAATATACTGTTCATTTATGCAAAAACAATCTGTTGCTAAATTTTTCAGCAAATACTGGGCGTGCAAAGCGCAGGATGATGAAATACTCGTGTGTTTTTTTTTTGGGATTACAACTTTCCCATTTGAATTAAAATTGTAAAATTTTTCTCTTTAAAAATTTTTGATGATATACACGACTATAATAAAGTCTCTCGCCTCCTCGCCTACAATATAAAGGATACACCTAGACTGCTCTGGGCCTGGCTTAAGGCTTTCGCTAAAGCGATTGTCATGGCGTAGAAAACAAGCGCTAGAAACCTGAGACCTTCCAATGTAGACTTTGTAGAGCTTTCTAAGTCCTCTCCAATGCGTTATACCTTCGTTGTAGACCCTATTAGTTCATTTTTAGAGCTTTCCAGAATCAACTTCTTCTATATGTTCTTCTTTGTATGAACTTTCTAAGACCCTTTCTGGACATTTTCCGAGGTTAGCTTCAGAGTTTACTTCAAACCTTTCTAGCTTCACCTGAAACTAGAAGGATAAGAGTGATAAGAGAAAGTTTTAGAAAGGGGTTTAACAGATAGTGGAAAGCGCTAGAGTTATCTAGAAAGCTCTATCCAGAATATTTAAATACAAGATATTTAAAAGCATTCTGAAACAAGCATAATAGGTTTTCAGTACGTTTTTAAAGAATCTTCGGCTACAAATTTGGGTGTTTAGGAAATATTAAAGATGCGTGCACATAAAGGGCTTGTGGAGGATATGCCAAGAAGGCATTATGAAGGGGTACATATAGGTACTATACATAATGTTCAAAGGTGCTAAAGCTATAAAAAGAGCTTCGAAAATTAACATTTACTTGGAAAGAAACTCGGAAAATTTTTAGTTTCCACAGTGTAGCTGCCGGTATTCAGAAAATTTGAGGTGGTGTCAAAGGGATTTCGAGACGGAGGAAGTTTTTAGAGAATTTCAAAGCTTCCACAGACGTTTCAAGGGAGTTCGAGGGGTTTGTTCAATTCAATTTCCTTCAATTTTAAAAAATACCGTAATTAAAAGGTAGAAACTTTTAATTGTTGCGGCCCAAACTACCCTAAAATCCTGAATGTCGTAATGCGAAAGTTTCTATGCAGTAATTTCAAAATAATTCGGGTAAAAAGCCGGTGCCAGAATAGAAGCGGTTCGTGGCAGTTTAAATTTGGAATTTCAAAAACAATGAGCAACTACCGACATAAATTTGAAAATTGTAGGGAATAATTTTACAATTGGCGTGATATAAAAAATTAATTGATGTCTAACTAAAGTTGTTGTTGTGATCATGTTTATTTCACTTTCTTCCTATCAATAGCAGGAACACTGAAAACCATATGTAGGTATTATGTTTGTATCTTTCAATTAGAAATTTACATTACGTAAAGCAAACATTTCTAATTGCATTCCGGTGTATAGTTAATGATATTTGTAACGGTCCACTTGTCATATCTCAGATATCATCGGCCTTATCAGCGTACTTATGGATGTTTTTTTTTGTTGCAGAAGTCATTCCAAGGCGTCTTATTTGGCGTCGCGTCGGGAGCGGGAACGTATAGTTCCCGATTCCGACACGGGCGTTTACAAACGGACAATGTCGCCCAACGGCCACGCCTTGAGCAACGAAGCTATAACGGATTCTCCCAAGGTAATCTCGAGGGATTCTAAATGGCCCCTGAACAGATCGGGGAAGGAGGTTATGAATAACAATACCAATTTGATACGAAGAGTTTCGATGAATGATAAGTGTAATAAGGCGAATACGATTTTATCCCTTCATACCGAAAAGGACGAGTACAAGAAACCCCCCGTGGTCCTTCCCGATGTTCTTCCAGTGAAAGAAAAAATTCTTCCGTATAGGTCCCAGTATCCCTTCCGGCCACCTCAACTCGAAAACGGCATGCAACAAAAGCACGGGTCGCCACCCAAGTATGAAAGCCCGCCCGCCTCTCCTAGTAAAAGTCCCTCGCGTAATTCACCTTTTACGCCCTTACGTAGCACCCTCCTGTCCTCCCCTCTCAAGCCCCTAGTACTCGAAGACTCAGTTAGAACATCGCCTCTAAGTTCCTCTATCAAACCGATATCGCCAATCAGATCTTCGCCAATGATCTCAACCGCTACTAACACACCGTCGCCATCATCCCCTCCCGCATCACCTAAGGTGTACTTCACTTCCTACCCATCACCTCCACAATCACCCAACGACAAAGAAGAGCACCCCGCCGTCGTCGAAGGCCTACAAATGATACAACGAACTGAAGTGATACTTAGGGTTAACGTGTGCACAACCGACGCAGCCTCCCAGACTGAAAAAGACGAACTACCCCCCACCCCTCTCCCTACCCGCAGGAAACTCCAAGAGGAGATTGAATGCGAGAAATTATCCCAAGATCTAATTAAGCAATTACCCCCAACGGATAGACTTAAGGAGATTCTACGTAAGTTTCGCGCCCTACCCTACGATTAGTCCGCTCATTGTCGATTTAGTTCCAGGACCTGATTACAAAAAACCTACGGATTACGTTAGCGGCCTTTTCCGACCGGAAATCACCTCGCGCCCGAGGCCGCTCAACTCGCCCTTCCGAAGTAGGACCTCCACGCCAAATTCTAGCCCGCCTCCGCCGTCAATCAGCGTCAGTCCTCTTATGAAAACCAGGTGCGTAAATTGTAATCAGTGCGAAGGTAGATGCTTATGTGGTACTTTCAGTGATCAATCTATAATTGAGCCCTCGAGCCCGTTGTCGCCAACGTCCACCTATTTCACCACGTCTGAACCGAAAGCAAAATTTTTAACCCGATATAGTCAAGAATTTAGCAATGTAAAAGATACCAAAGATCTAAATTTAAAAAAGGTAAGTGGACTCTTCTCGCAAACTGAAATGCTTATAGTCACACCCTGCAGGAGGAGTTGGTCAATCGGTTGGATCGTAAGTTGGAAGTCCTCCGCGGTGAGCAGGTGGTTGTCTTCGAGGAGTGCAGGCTTAATGACGAACTGGGCGAAAACGTCGACGTCCACATGAATAAGCTGGCGAGGCCGCATGAGTACTCGAAGTTTTGTCTGCACGTCGAAGAGGTCGGCAAGATTACAAGTTTGCTATTAGGCTTATGTGGGAGGTTAGCGCGTGCCGAGAATGCCCTGATGAGTATGGACGAAAATCATGCGGAACGGGTATGTACTCACAACACTCTTAGAATATATGGAAATGTGGAGCTTAGGCTTGACAAAAAAAAATCTAAAACCGCAATTTTAATTAAAATTCTCACTTTAAAAGCTACACACCAAAAACTTAAAAAGGGAATTCAAGAAGCTTAAATTTGGCACTTTGAGTTTTGAATTATGAAATTCACTCTTTCCTGGTCACTTCAAAGCTCAAACAGGTAATTTTTGCACTTTCGCCCTCTAACTTCAAACTAACCGACTCCAAAATTGAATATTGAGAATAAATTCCAAGCATTTCCCTTAAAATCTGAAAATTGAATTTCGAACTTTGAAACTCGAACCTCGACCCTCAAGCTAAAGTGACCTTGACCCTCTTGAAGCTTCAATTTCGAACCTTGGAAAGCTCCGACGCACTTAAATTTGAACCAGAACTCCAACCCTCCGTTCCGTTTCAGAGAATATTGGAGGCGAAAAGGGATAAACTGAAGGATCAACTGGAGGAGGCGAAAAAGTTGAAGGAGAGCATCGATCGTCGAAGCGTGAACGTCTCCAACATTCTTTGTAAATACATGAATTCGGACGAGTACGCCGACTACGACCACTTCATCAACATGAAAGCGAAACTTATAATGGACGCGCGAGAAATTGCGGACAAAATCAAGCTGGGCGAAGAGCAGCTTCTCGCGCTGAAAGAGACCCTAATGACAACAGACTGAATTTTATTGTATAAATCGTTCGAGTTTTATCAAACGAGACTAGTCCGTTGTATGTGCTTTCTTAGATCTTCCTCCTGGAAATTCTGGGACATTCTGTAGAATAATTTTTTTCTTATACAATTACTGTAAGTTATTTTAGATTTTGGTACTTAAAATTCGGGTGGTTTGATACATGTTTGTCGAACGTCGAGGGTGGCTTTTGGCAAACATTTATGAAGCATCCGAAGTGTAGGGTATACCTCGCAATATCTACTCGTAACAGCTTCTTACTTGTAGATTTTTTGGCTGCTTTAAAGTCAGATTGGTAGTCTCTTACCGTTTCACGAAACGAATAAGATGACTTGATCAAAATAAGCAGACAGGCTGTTATTTTTTGTGCATTTCATTTTTAGTTAAATGTATTTATATTTAGGTAAGCGTGAACATCTTCCTAAGAAGTATTTAATGAATTTAGTTTAGTCTACAAATCCAAATTTTTTTTACATTCGTGTTTTGGAGATTTGTTCGTTGCTGGAGTAGACGTTTGTGTATATATCGATTATGTTTAAAATCGAATAGAATGGTGCTCTGGAAAATTATTTTTAATGAATTGTTATATTGTGATCTTTTGTGTTTAAGTAGCTTTTGTCGAATTTCTTATAAGTTTAATAAGATTATATGTTCAACTTGAGTTTCAGTACATTATACAAGCTTTATGCCTCGCTTGCAATAAATAAATAACACATTATTTCTCTTATTTAGCAATCGCTCCAAGACCATCAGAGTCTCCAACTAGAAGCAGGTTGTATTATTTGTTTTTCCTTTATTTCTAGGCAAAAGGACATATAGTCATGACTCATGATGTATCATCAGTTCTGTTCATCACAGGTTCTAGTACTATTCCTCTTTTTTTTCGATCTTCATTGCTACCTACTCTCCTTTATCCTCGCAAGCGCTTTCATTTTAACAATTCCACAGCACAGTGCGTTTGGTGCAATTCATTCAAAACACACTTTTGAAGTGCGATGGGTACAACGACACGTTTACCACGCATGATAATGCCGTTATGTATAGAAAATTCTGGATTTGATGCTTCTTTTGATTTTATCACTTCATCACTTAACATCACATCTCATATCAAACAGTTTTTAGCCAATTTCGTTTTCTTCTGTTACTCAGGTCTGTGATTAATCTTCTTTCTCCAACTCTTTCCAGTATATGTATGCTTCTTTGGCCAGTTCTTTAACTGTGATGTTCTAAGAACGATATTAACTTTAAATAACAAATTTATTAACAGGAAAACGTTACACACATTACTAGTAATATTATATCTATCTATCTATGACACTACAGTCTCCCCTTTTTAATAAGAAACATAACATATTGAGTAATAAAATTATCTATAAGTTCAGTTTGATTACTGGCTTCCTAATGCGTTCTGATCGTCTCAGCACTGGCACTAAAAATGTGGTTTTTCATTCGATATGGACCGTGGAACACTCGATGCTGGAAGCGTAGATGTCACCGTGCTGCTAAGGGTAGGCTATTGATACCCAGATGTCCGCATCGGCGGAGGTAAAATGAACGTGTTCTTCTTCTGTGTTACTTCCCTGGAGGAATCTTGTGTAATTTCCGCTTGTTCTGAACAATCTGTTGGTTTGAGCTGATTTACGTGTCGCTTGAGAATGTGGGTATGTGTTGTAATGTAGCTTATTGTTCGTAACTAACGCCCCAAATGTAACTCTGAAGGAGATTTTCCGTTTGGTAAAGGTGTGACCCTGGATTTAAATAAAATCTTGTAGGAACTTTCCGTTCAATATGTTTGGGATCTTCAAACAACATAGCGTTCAATTTACGTTTAAAAGTTTGAACGTAGCGTTCCGCTAATCCGTTTGTGGCTGGATGATGAGGTGGTGACGTTTTATGGCAAATGCCAAGTTTTGCACAGAAGTCTTCAAACTCATCAGATTTGAAAATTGATGCGTTGCCGCTTACCAATACATACGGTATTCCTTTGTGATGTTATAATGTTCATCATTACATTTATATCGTACTGGAAGATGGTTTAGGAAAAATTTTATTTTCAGTCCATTTTGTTAACGCATCTTCGACAATTAAAAATTGTAGACTTTCAAAGGGGCCAGTCCCGTGGATCGAGAAGAGCTTTCTGGGGAGCATTTTGAACTAGAGCGCAAGCGAGGTATGACTGTACTACTACTTCAATATCCTTGTCCTTATTTTTCCAATATGCCGTTGATCTCGCAAGCGCTTTCATTTTAACAATTCCACAGCACAGTGCGTTTGGTGCAATTCATTCAAAACACACTTTTGAAGTGCGATGGGTACAACGACACGTTTACCACGCATGATAATGCCGTTATGTATAGAAAATTCTGGATTTGATGCTTCTTTTGATTTTATCTGTGTTAAAAGTTCAGATAATGCAGCATCTTTGCTGGTTTCTTGCCTAATGTCTTCTCCTGTAATCGCTCTTGACTGTATCGCACTTAACATACCTATTGATAGTTTCTTCATTAACTATATACTTAATTAAATATCGTATATCTATAATGTCTGGATTCGCGAATAGAAGTGGTGCTCTTGACAAATAATCAGCATTTTGATGTTCCTTCGCTGATGGTCGATGTTGTAGGTATATTGTACTCAAATTGACGTAAAAACAAAGCGTATCTTGTCAAACGTACCTAATGCTGAAATCTGAGGTAAAACCTTGCTAGGATCAAAAATAGTTCGTAATGGTTTGTTATCATGGACAAGTGTAAATTTGTTGCCATAAAGATACTAGAATAGTCGTTTGGTTTCTCAATAAATGGCTGTTGCTTCTTTGTCCAAATGACTGCACTTTTTCTCAGCATTGGTGAGAATTATTGGCCTGATAACTACATTTACCCTATGTGACAGAACAGTGCCAAACACGAAAGGTGACAATATTTTTGCCAGAAACAATTATGTCGTCAAAATAAAAACTACACCCAACTATCCCGTCTAAAATTGGTGCTAGTACAGAATGAAAAATGGTGGGAGCTTGTGAAAATCCAAAAAATGGACGTTTTGGGCGATATGTTTCTCTATGTGTAGGTACTTATTGCACCTATTTTTGAACTTTCTTCGAACAAAAATATTTACTTTATGAAATAAATCTTCTATATATTCTTGGTATTAGAAAATGTGCCTGTTGTAATTGTAGATTTATCGTATTCTTATAGCGTTTTCGATTGGCAAAACTCGTGCTGCACGAGAGCAATTTTTACGTTCTATTGGTAATTTTAGGGCAATTTTCTGTGTTCCATTGGCAAATGTGATGCAACAATTACGCACTCAGTGCAAATTTCGACGCACGAGGTCCGAGAGCTCGTGGAGCTGCTAGTTAACAAATTTTCAAAACAAACGTGCGACAATTTGAATTTGTTTCTTGCGTTGGGAGAGTTTTTTGTCGTCATCTAGCGATAGCGAAGATGATGAACTAGCCATAACTTCTATTTTACAAAAAGTTGCACTTACTCATTAAACTGAATGCCAAAAATTGGTCCTTTACAGGAATTTCAAATTTATATTCCTCATCGTTTATCATAAATAATACTGAAATCGTTTGTCATTTTTTAGAATAGAGATTTGTCGATTACCTAAATCTAAAATGAGGTTATGGACAAATGACAACAAATATTTACGAATATTTATGTTCCATTGAGAACAATTTTCACATGGATTTCTTCAGTTTCTCGTGCAACACTCGTGCAGTACGAGTTTTGCCAATCGAAAACGCTATTATAGTCAGCACAAAGCTGTACAGAATCGTTAGACTTGGATACAATCACCAATGGTGTACCCCATTAACAATAATCAATTCTTTGAATAATGTCGTTTGCTTCTAATAAATCTAATTCTGCATCCACTTTTGATAAACGTATTGAGCGTATGGCACAGGTCGTAGAGGGCGATAAATTGGTAGTGGTGCTGCGTTGATTTCAATTGTGATGTGGCTATTACCTGAGGAATTAATCCAATTTTCTGTTTAAAAACATCAGAATATTCATTTATAATTGTTGAATTTTCTGAAATCGACCGGGAGAAAATCATTTTCTTATAGATTTTGGCCTGTAGAATCCATAACTGCCAACAGGTTGCAGATTGGGCCACTAGATCAAAAGTTACTGCCCCTTGAATTTTTTTTCGAAATTGGTTTTTTGCCTATAACTTTTGATTCAGAGGTTCAATCGACAAAATACGAGACGTTTTGGAATCTACGAAGCTAAATTAATAGGAAAAAGTGTTTTCCCGAACATTTTTGGGGTAGTCGATTTTCGCTGAAAATGCAAAGGCTATACACTTGCCTATATTTTAGATCAGAAAAAAAATTGTCTGAAATCAACCGGGAGAAACCATTTTCTTATAGATTTTGGACTGTAGAATCCATAACTGCCAACAGTTTGCAGATTGTGCCACTAGATCAAAAGTTACAGCCCCTTGAATTTTTTTTCTGAAATTGGTTTCATGCAAGAGGTTGACTAATGAATGTTCATATTCATATTCATATCATATACCTATTCGTAAGAGACATTGCACTAACAATTATTTAGATGTTTAGAATAAAATATTAATATAACACACACAACACAAGTAATTACAAAGAAGACGGTATAGCAATAACAAATTCACGCTCATAGTGCACGACTCTAGCTAGATAACAAAAATGTTTGAAGAAGCATGAAGAGGGTGTGAAAGAAAGGAATGAGAAAAAAAATCGTCTAGAAGGTCGTGCCGAAAGAAAACAGAGGCGTGAAAGAGTCGCGAAGGGCACACGAAATAGATGTGACGTTGGGGTTGCAGACAAAAACATGTAGAAAAGAAGCGATAAAGAAACAAAAAAAGAAGCATGACCAAAAGCAAATGCAACGAAATAGAAAGAAAAGACGAGGACGTGACAAAACCGGAATATGCATGAAAGATGAGTGCAGGAGGAAGCCTAAAAGGAGTCATGAAGGGGTGAAAGATAAGACTAAGGAAACCTGTTTCTCTTACCTCTTTGCTTCTTTTTAACTTTGTCCTTTGACTTTTTATAATCGAGTACATACATGGTCGAAAAATGACCGTGTCGCTTCATATGTAATAAATAATCATGTAACGCAAATAGGGGAATAACATGAAGCATACACAACATGTTTGTCCGGGTTTCAGTAGTTTACGACGAACTATAAATATACAATGTTATTTTACTGGATAAGATAAAATAAAACGTAAATAAGTATTATTTATACAGGGCGTGTTTAATTTTACAGTACTATCCCTTATACCTTTTTGGGGAGCTTTCCCAAGTTTCTCATTTTGTTCTTCTGTATATTATGATTCATTGTTCTGAAAGTAGAATCTCGACGTTAAGGATTTTATATAGACTCTAAAAATCCTAAAAAAAATCGTTAAAAGATTCTGAGAAAATCCGGTAAGATTTCAATTCTACAAATAATCTATGAAAACGCTGATAGGATTTTTAGAAAATACTAAGTATATTAGAGTGTAAGACGATGTTAAAAAGATTCTAATGACTGTTTGGAAAGTTCTGCTGATCCCGGAAGTTTTAACCATGTTACACTGATTCTGAGATAGGACGGTTTTGGAAGCTCTGAAACCATTTAGAAAATTTGGAGAAGATTGCAAGATTTTTGACAGGGATTACCACAAGTGACAATACATTGGTGTTTCACTAGGATCCTCCTAAAAAACTGGAATCAATGTAGGAGCTCTGTAGGGGCTCTGCAGCCTCAAAAATCCAGTGTTCGGTCTGGAAAATTGATTGCGACAAATTTTGGTTGTCTCAGATCGAACCGGAAGTGCTTTTTGATTACCGAATTCATGCGACGAAAGCAATAACGATACAAGGTGAGGTTTATTGAAACACGATTCAACACTTAAAAGAAGCGACCAATTCATGGCGATCATAAACTGCGATGTTGCACGACAATTGCAAGCTCCACAAAGTTCGCCACGTTCAAATTATCACAAACCGCGTGGCTTTATAAAATTCCGCATTCGCCCTCTACACGGGCAACACCATACGACTTTGTTCTGTTCAAGGATCTCCTCCCGTCGATTTTTTAATGGGATGAGTTGGTGAAAACTGCGCTGTAGATGGTAGTTACGTAGAGAAGAACGTTTTTAAAGCTTTGTGGAGTTTCCTTCATAGTAAAGAAAAGGCGTCGTAATAAATTATTAACAACAAAGTGTAAAATAGTGTATTAAGTATAAAAATTTGCATAGAAACATACGAAAAGGGATTAATAATAATTATCATTAACTTCATTAGTTGAATCATTTTGTATCTGCAACGTCCACGACCAATCACATTTAACAGTAGCCTTATCTGGAAATTTGATGCTAACTGTGTTATTCACGAACTCCCACTGAAACAGAAATCGTTAGCAATAGAAACACCGAACTTCATCGTTCCTCTTACATGCAGATTTTCCGGATTTCCGAGTAGGCTAACTTTGGTCGCGTTGATCTTGAAGGCGCTGATGGAGGAGGCCAAGGAGAGAGTATTGCTTGGCGGCCAGTCCAGTACGATGGCGTAAATCACAGACTTGGACGAAGTGTACCAAACGGGCGCGAGTGAGTCCTTTTGGTACTGCCACGGTTTGGTGGCGTAAATGGCGCGGCCATTGATGGAGAGCCAGCGTCCCAAGTTGATAAGTCTGTCTTCGAAAATTGGATCGATCCGTCCGTCGCTTGTTGGGCCAACGTTCACCAGCAGATTACCTCCGCAACTGACGGTTTCAGCCAAGACTTGAATGAGTTCCTTTACCGTGTAGAAGCTGTCGTAGTTAACGTTCCGCCGGTAACCCCAAGAGCCCTTATCGACTGTCATTGCGTTCTCCCACTTGTGCTTCTGCAGTACACCTTAAAACACATTGCACTTTAAGGTGAAAACATGCGAGACTTACCGGGATCGTATCTATCCTTGCAGTTGTAGAAATCCCCATGGCGACATGGTATCCCCTTCCCCCACCGGTCGTTAACAACTACCGTATCCTTCACGGGACTTTCGTTGTACAACCACGCCAAAAACTCAGTCGACTTCCAGTAGGTGTCATTCGCTTCCCAGTCGCCATCCGACCAAATGACGTCGGGCGTGTAGTCTTGCACCAACTCCATCATTTCTGGTATAACCTTTTGTGAAACAAAATTGTTCTTGGTGAAGTTCGACCCTTTATCAGACAAGTAAAGGGGATTATACCACTCGTACAGAGAGTGATACACGCCAAATCTGACGTTGGTGGTCCTAACAGCGGCCGCCAGTTCACCTAATTGTGTGATAAGGGTAGTTAGGTTGAGGGCAAGTTTTGGAAGATTTTTTGCATGATTAAGTACACTGGTGGTAGGAAACCCGATCGTGCAAAAAAATTAAAGGACGATTTTATTATACTCGCCTAGTAAATTTCGATTGGGACCCACATCTCGAACATTCCAGCTGAATGAATACTTAGACGGCCAAAGCGTGTACCCTTCATGATGCTTGCTTGTCAGTACGACGTACCTGCAGAATCCCTCAGTTAGTTACCGCACCCATCCTACGAAAGTCTTACTTGGCACCTGCCCGAACAAACAGTTTCGCCCACGCGTTCGGATCAAAGAGCTGCGCGGAAAAATCCTTCGCGAAATCTTGGTAGGTGAAATTCGGCGGGTAATTCTTTTTCATAAACGAAACAATGTCTTTATTTCCACCTGGAAAATAAGTGTCATTTAAAAATTAAATCTAGACAAATGTCTCTTACTCTTCCAATTACTCCAAAACCATTCAGAGCCAAAGCTGGGCACGGAGTAGACGCCCCAATGTAAGAAGATACCGAATTTCGCCTCGTCAAACCACTGAGGAAGAGGTCTCTTATCTAAGCTTTCCCATGTCGGATCGTAACGTACTTGACCATCACAATAAGTGAAGGCAAAGATTGCGATCACGGAAAATACTACCCTCACCATTTTATGAATGTAACGTCCAGATAAATTGCACATTCAACAACGCACCATACGCATGCCTAGCACAAATGTCGATATTTTGTCGAGCAATTATACTTTGCACTGTCTAGATCATAATAATAACATTTACTACATCGTGGGTGTTTAAATTGCCCCCGTATACTGTTTCAGTCCACGAAGGTCAACATAAACATTAATTTTGATAACACTGCATTTGGGTATACCGGGTGTTACTCTCTAGGTATATTTTTTAACGCATTTATTAAGAATTTAAAAAATGTGCTATAGTTTGCGTCCGTCCGTCTGTTTGTCCGTCCGGACCCACTTTTGCGGTTTTGAAGTACTTTTAGGGGAATGGTTCTAGAGTCCTGGAATTTTTTACAATGTAGCCTATACCTTGAGGGTGTGCCAGACGGCCATCAAATTTCACTGCTTGAAAGAGCCCCCCCCCCCCTTTATTATGTGCTGCGATGCTGTTTTTTTTATGTAAAACGTGCATAACTTTTACATGTGACAGAATTTGCGTACGCTTGCCTCTAGCGGTGACAAGTTTTAAAGTTTTGAAAATAAGAGATGGGCGGGGAACTGTTTTCTCCACCCCAACTGGTCGACTACACCCCGTTTTACGGTATTTGCGTTACTAAGAAGCGCAGACCTTCAGAACTTCTCGGTCGTCTGGCCGTCTTCCATCCATATGGGTATTCCTAATTTTAACTGCAAAGTGATAGTAATAGCAAACGGTATTTTACAGTAAATGTTTCTTATAAGTCATACGTTTAAAGTGCGCTTTTATTTGATATAGGTAAAGACTATAACGTGCCCTGGTAAACCCATTGAAATCAACTGACCGACGCCTAACTTTTCTGCGTATTCGAATACTTCGCAAGGTATTCGAATACTTTGAGAAGTATTCGAATACTTCGCATAGTATTTGAATACTTTTACCAAAAATCGACTGCATCAAAATTTCTCGGGAAAACACTTTTTCTTATTAATTTTGGTGCGTAGAATCCAAAACAATTCGTACTTTTTCGATCAGACTTCTCAATCAAAAGTTATAGACTAGAAACCAATTTCGAAAGAAAATTCAAAGGGCTGTAACTTTTGAACTAGTAGCCCAATCTTGGAACTGTTTGAAATTATGGATTCTACAGGCCACATTCTATAAGAAAATTTTTTTCCGGGTCGATCTGAGACAATTTTTTTTTCGGGGGTTCAAAAAAAGGCAGTGTATAACCTTCCTTTTTTACCAAAAATCGACTACACCAAAATTTCTCGGGAAAACACTTTTTCTTATTAATTTGGTGCGTAGAATCCAAATCAATTCGTACTTTTTCGATCAGACTTCTCAATCAAAAGTTATAGACTAGAAACCAATTTCGAAAAAAAATTCAAAGGGCTGTAACTTTTGAACTGGTAGCCCAATCTTGGAACTGTTTGAAATTATGGATTCTACAGGCCACATTCTATAAGAAAATTTTTTTCCGGGTCGATCTGAGACAAATTTTTTTTGGGGCCTCAAAAAAAGGCCTAAACTAAGAAAAATCTTCCATCTTCCCCTACCATTGATTATACTCGTTGTGTATAATCAATGCCCCTACCTATCTAAATGGATGTGTCACTGTAATTATTATCTCTTTTCAAAATGGGTTCGCTTTGAAATGAATGCCCTGTATGCAATACGTTAAAGCAGTGTCCTGTAAAACCGGCAATTAATTTTAACCTACAAACCTTTTTTTAAGATCCCCAAAATTATTCACAAAAAATAATCACTGAATGTGATTAAAGTACTTTGTTTTTAAAGAATTAATTATGTCTTTAGAACCAACAGCATGTGAAGGTAAACAGTATGAGACAAAGAAAACTATGGTCATAACCTATAAATTAGATGTTATTGTAGATTTAAAGGCCTTCGAAAGAAGATTAACCGAAGTAATCGCCTGCCTACAGCCTTCAACCACTCGATGGAGAAGTAGGTATTACAGTTGTATTTCTAAGAGTGCTTTAATAACGATTTTGTAGTTGTTTTAATTATCGTCTCAGTTTGCGTAGCCGCGGGAGCAGGTCAGTGGTTAACGGATCCATATACAAGAATAATACCTTTATCTCAGTCCCTTTCAAATCATCCCTTCTTTATAATTGCGACGTTGTTGCTAGGTAGGTATGCAAAAGCATTATCGGTTTGTGCCGTTTACAGTTATTTGTTTTCAGTAATTATATTTCTACTTGGTGTACATAAGAGGGTCATAGCTGCATCAATTATTACAACACGCACTAGGGAGGTGTTATGTGATTTTAATATGTCTTGTGACGATACTGGTAAATTAATATTAAAACCTCGCCCTACGAATGTAACTTAGCAAATGAATAGTACAAATGATTAAAGTTAATTATAGTAATCCTTTTTTTATTGAAATGCCTTGTTTAGTTAAATCATTGATTAAGAATTGTTATTCTCAGAGGAGGTGTGTGTACTGCAAATATTTCTGATTACATGATGGGTCTATTGATACCTCACGAGAAAGGCTACTGATTTGGGTTTGAGCATGAAGATTTTAGTGCTTCAGATGCTTACTTGTCTCTGCTGAAATTCCACCAAGTACTTAAAAATGGCACTTTACTGTTTTGCAGAACTACCTCCTACGATTTACCCTTCCACATTGCATGCTCCAATGCAGGTGGAAGATCTGGAATATTAGAATGAATCAAATCAAATCTGATAGGGCACTTTTCACTGAATCCGACTTACCTAACCAATTTAATTTAAAAAAGTGTAGTATTTCAAAAATATTGTTTTTCAAAAAATAAGACATTTATGGAGAGAGAAGTTTTAAAAAATTTTCAAATAGTGCTGATGTACTGATTACCAAAAGTTCATGTAAAATATGTACTGGGAAATACCTAAGTATTTTATTTTAAGTAGCAAAAAAAAGCCTAGATTTAAACTTAAAAAACTATAAGTACCTACTTGGATAAAGACTGGTACTTCATAGTAGGTACACTGAATACCGGAAGTGCTTGATTGTATGGTACTTAACCATTTGAATTTTAAGTAGTTACCTACTTTATCTAGGTGGTCAGGTACTCGACATTATATAACAGCATTGAATAAGATGATAATAGCTATCACAATTTCTAACTCGCTAGCGTGGGGTTAAAAAATGTGTAAGAGGGTCAAGGGCGCCAAATTCTTTGCGAAGTACGTTTCCCTAGAATTAACGGTACCTGCGTGCTAGCTATTGCCTTGAGTAAAACGCTATATATGTATAGGAGATACAAATGCAGTTAATTCTCTGCTCAAAAGAACAATTTGTGATATGATACCTGAATATTGAATTGGTGTCAACTGCTGAAATCATTATCTGACAATAATAGTATTTCTTTCGGCACAGTTTCAGGATGTTGGACAAACTATTCTTCGCAAGCAATTTTTTATTGATTTTTAATGTCTTGCTAAGGGAGTTATAAATTTATTAGAAAACAATAAAGTTAACTATATACATCATCAGCAAAACTTGTGTAATGAGTAGAGATGTTGACCCAAGTCATTAGATACAAAATAAATAGTAAGGATTCCAATTTTTGACACTGCCTCTCCGCGGCCGCCGCCAAATTGAATAAACAAAAAAAATCGAAAGTTGCTTCAGATTTTCGCTTGTATCTTCGTTTCGGTGCATTTTAGCTACCAAAGAGTTCTGCTCAATGTTATAGAGAATTAAATTTCATCAGTTTTCGCCACACCTTCGCAGATATAGAATCCTGAAATTAGTGAAATTTCATAAAAATGATTATAATAACCATCATAGGAATTATTATTTAACTAAAGTTTTTTATTAACTTTATTGTATTTGCCACAAGTATATCTGTTTTGGATTATCCATATTGCTGTGGCGCCATATTAGGCGCCAAATAAATAATGCTGTGTGCAATGGTATGCGATCAACTACACCCCTCACAAAACACTTGTCCAGCTAGCTCAAACAAATCAGCATTGAAACTTTGAGTTTTTCCTCTTTCCTCATACACGTCGGCATCTCCTCCCCCAGGAAAGTCTCCAATATTGACCTAAATTAAAAATTTGAGAGACGTAGTGGTCTCGATCGACGTCCGAAAGTTCCAAAGAATTCACTACGCAAAATTTGATCAACATCTGAAATAAATCTTGGATGCGAAAAGAAAAAATCTGACATGAGTGATATCCGGGTCGCACAATGGGTTTGAATAAACATACAACTAATTAATTAACAATGACAAATATTTATTCCAAAACATTTAAATGAAAATTAAAACAAAATCGCCGAAAGAACAATAAGAAGCTTGCAAAGCGTGTTTAGACATAGTACCCCGCACGCAGACCGTCGATAATTATGTATAAGAAAATCTTATTTTTTTTCTCTTAATAATCCTGTAATAATCTAGCCGTGAATGGTTTGCGATATTCAGCCACACAAGACACGCAAAAACACTCGCCGACAGCTTCTGAGCTTCACCTTTTTTACCAAAAATTGACTCCACCAAAATTTCTCGGGAAAACACTTTTTCTTATTAATTTTGGTGCGTAGAATCCAAAACAATTAGTACTTTTTCGATCAGACTTCTCAATCAAAAGTTATAGACTAGAAACCAATTTCGAAAGAAAATTCAAAGGGCTGTAACTTTTGAACTAGTAGCCCAATCTTGGAACTGTTTAAAATTATGGATTCTACAGGCCACATTCTATAAGAAAATTTTTTTCCGGGTCGATCTGAGACAATTTTTTTTTCGGGGCTCAAAAAAAGGCAGGTTATAACCTTCCTTTTTTACCAAAAATCGACTACACCAAAATTACTCGGGAAAACACTTTTTTCTTATTAATTTGGGTGCGTAGAATCCAAATCAATTCGTACTTTTTCGATCAGACTTCTCAATCAAAAGTTATAGACTAGAAAACAATTTCGAAAAAAAATTCAAAGGGCTGTAACTTTTGAACTAGTAGCCCAATCTTGGAACTGTTTGAAATTATGGATTATACAGGCCACATTCTATAAGAAAATTTTTTTCCGGGTCGATCTGAGACAATTTTTTTTGCGGGCCTCAAAAAAAGGCAGTCTTGTCTTTAAAAAAACCGCTCCATAACTCGAACTCGCTTAATAATCAAGATGAAAAAGATTCTCGGCAGCTGCTCGGACGGTAGAAACTTTTCACTTTCAGTAAGCAAACAACTGCTTTGTTGACTCCCACCCGTACTAACTTTTTCTAAATGTGGAAGAAATCAATTACAATTAGATTAGATAACGCCGCCTGCGTCCTCACTTACGCCGAAAGTAATGCGCACATCGATGACCACCTGCATCTCTTGTTATCAGCACTAGCACACGTGCGTTATCACTTTCTCAACAGGATGGTGCACCCGCGCACAACGCCCTAATCGTGCGAGAATACCTAGCGACAAATTTTTCCGTTTCCCAAGAAATTTGACTTTTTGTTACACACATGCGCAAATAAGAAGCAAATTCAGATCCACTTGAACTTCTTTGTAGGTTCCCTTCCTAATTTCGCAGAGTAAGGCATAATACAGTATAAAAAATTTATTCAACAATATATACAAAGTGTACATCGATGATGTATCTCAACAAAATGATATACTTTGTGATGTAACATAAAGATCTTTGGCATCACATTAGCTAACCTTAAGCCATAAATAAAATATCTACAGAGTGCGCGAAAATATCTAAGCCGCCGCTTCGTCTAGTCCGCTTTAGTTACGAAAATAACATTTCATAGCTATATAAAGTAATATACATTAAGGACTCCGATATTATTAGGCAACAGTGCATTTTGAAAATATTTTGTGCACTAATCACTTTAACAAGATTAATTACGTGGGTATCACACTTAAAACTATCAACTAAAATGTCATGGAACTGTAATGAACTGAAATGGAATGCATGATGTTTGAGTGCGACGTTCTGCTCTAAGCTTTACCCACGATGTTGTGTAAAATGTCTGCTATTTTCTGTACGGTTTTACCCTGTAGTATCGACCTGTGGTTACCTTCGAGCGGCTGCACCACCACCTTCTGCTTGCAAACCTGTAACAAATCAAGCGTCAAATTCAAAGTTCTCGAAGCGTCTTAGTTGATTGGTAAATCTTAGGGGTTAACTTCACGCATTTTTTACCTTTGGTAAAATGTACTAAAACTCCGAAGTGATTAAAAATAAATGACTGAATAAACAAGTTAAAAAGTAATCGTAAACAATTTACATAAAGCGCATTTCCCATTTGTAAGATGCAACTTCTGTTAAAATCGTAAAAATCCGACCACAAATATGAAAGATAGCGTTGCACATGGGCAATCCATTTTTGACGTGCTACTTCAATTTCAGTTTATAAGAAGAATTTCATTTCAATGCTTTTCTAAATAAGAAAATTGGAACTACGCATGCGCAAACCTAAATTTTGAAACTAATGTTAGATTTTCCTTTGTTCCAAGCGCCTAAGTATCAAATTTCACTTAAATGCTTCCATAAATAAAAAAGTTGGCACTGCGCATGCGCAAAACCAAATTTTGAAATTGGCGTTTGATTTTCCTTTATCCCAAGTGCCTATGTATCAAATTTCATTCAAATACGTTTATAAGTAAAAAAGTTTGCAATTCGGTTTATAAATGGTCGAGATGCGAAAAGGGCACTGTGAATTTTGAATCGATTTGATTCAACTTTTGGCATTGCGTATTATATGGCTAAAGCTATGCCCATATTGAATTTCATGCAATTCAGTTCATAACTAACGGAAATGTAAAAGCGATCGGACAGTTCTAAACAAAGTTATCTTTCACACGGACAGATAGAGGGACAGACAAACAAAGGAACAGACGGACAGACCAACAGGCAGACGACAGACAGCAATGCAAAATTATAAACGATCTCTAGGATCGTTAATAAACGGAAAAAGTGTAAAATTATGGAACATGTAAAAAACGGTTTTTTGTTTTTTTTACAATAACTTTTTTTGTAAGCGGTACAGAAAAAATTCCTTCTTTGGTACAAGACTCGACACCATAACGAACCAAATAGCGAAAAAAGTAGAACAATAGCTCTTAAGATAAAGAACTAGTAGCGTCGAAAACGAGCGGACGGACGGACGAAGTGGCCACAATAGCGCATTTTTTTTTTACTTTTGTGGAAATGCGCTAAAAAGATGAGAGAGCTCTGAATGAGATACTAAGGCAGCATGCGTGAAAGAAAAAGAAGGAAGTACTAATAGATGATGTTTGAAGGAAGGCGATTAAAGAAAACGTGAAGAGTATCTGAAGCAGATGATAGGAATGGGTCAAGAATCTGTAAGGGCAGCGTGAAGAAGGTAACGAAGAAAGAGGCTTAAAAAATGAGTAAGTAAAACTTACCGAACCAAGTCCATA